GATAAAAGATATTCAATTTTTCCTCACATATACATTGTCTTAAACATGTAGACTTAGTTTCTTTGTTTGTGAAAATAAGTAGACAAAGTTGTTTGTCTTTGAAAATATGTATACTAAGTTTAAAGTAAGGATACGTGTCTGCTTAATGATGATCTCTCTGGTAGCCTCATGGAATATCATCTGGTAGAAGACATAGATGATCTGGCAAACCACCTCATCATCCTCTTGTTTGGCTGTGAAGAACAATAAAATAAGAGTCAAGTACAATGTGTATAACAGTATAACTGTGGTAGAAAGTGATTTTCTTTTCTGATAAGACTAAACATGTTATATTTTTTTTTCATGAAGCACAATATTTTGACCTTCCACCAAAGGGTCTTGATCACTTGATCCACAAACAATCTTAGAACAAAACTTCGTCTCAAGTTTTAGACAAAATTGTTGGTCTAATTCAGTACTGAAAATGAGCAGTAGTCCCCCAAAACTAACTTTTAGCCTTAAACAGTAGCTACTTTTTTCATATAATGAAAAAATTACATGGATCAAAATAGACTACAGTTCTTTTGTGTACTGGGAGAATGAAGAATGATAAAAGCCTTACCATTGAGGAGTTCTATGAGATTCTGTATGATCCCATTGTCTGCTAACATTTTGGCACAGTTGTCATCACAGCACACTGTTCCCAGCAGGATGACAATCTCCAGAACCATGTCATCCTCCGCAGCACCTGGATGGATTTTATGTATGTAGAGAGAGTAAATACATGTGCGCACGGACACACGCACACACACACACACACAATATGTCCACTCAAGGATTATGTCATTCTCCACAGCACCTGGACAGATAAACTGGATGTGTAGTAATACACACATACTTACATACACACACGTGACTCGTGTATCTGCACACACACACACGCACATACACACACACACACACGTGTGAACATAGTATAAGGAGAACATGTGAACATTAAAAAGTCTCTCTCTCTCTCTCTCTCTCTCTCTCTCTCTCTCTTGCACATACACACCCACAGGCTCAGGGAATATATGTTGTTTCACATTTGCTGTTAGACAAAAAATAATTATAATAATAAATCAATAATGAAACATTAAGTGAACTTTTTAAAAGAACTATTTTAAGAATCTAACATGTAACAATTAACTGCGTGGTCCTTGTAACAAAACCAATAGGCCTTTTGCAGCAGGTTAACGAAAGAAGTCAATATATTGTCACCAAGCTGCAAATTGCCTATTTCCATCACTAAACCAAGATGACAGTCACAAGTCAGTGATGTATACCAACATTTGAACAGATTTAGTAGTGAACATTTGTTCTTCCTGTATACTGATATCTGGTATTAACAGTGAACAGACTGGGTTAGTAGTGAACAGGTGTTCTACCTGTATACTGATATCTGGTGTTAACAGTGAACAGACTGGGTTAGTAGTGAACAGGTGTTCTACCTGTATACTGATATCTGGTGTTAACATTGCCTGCATCATCAGACTCTACAACAAATGTCACTGGGAAAAGGTGGGTTATAATGTAAATTAAACTGTATATACCACTACTACCACTATTTCTACAACTGTGTGTATGTACACCTGTGTACATATACTTCTCTTTTTGTGTGTGTGTAAAAGATATTTTAGCTTGAAAGAGAAAGAGCACTTGTACACAGACCAGTAGCAGCTGTATTGATCAATTTTAATTATTTATAACATTCTGTCTAATATTAAAAACATATATAAGTACTTCAAGAAAAAATGAAACAAAACACAATACTTACCAGGTTGCATTTTAGTCTGTATCCATGGCACAAGCTGATATTCTTTTAAAAGGAGTTCGTAGTCCAAGTCTGGGAAGGTCACATTACCCAAAATCCCTACACACTCGATGACAAACTCCTCATCCTCTATCTTCTGTATAGCATTAGCTAAGTCACTCACATAGTCCTGGGAATTGTTCATTTTTGATAAATGTTTGAAATTGAAACAAAATATGCATTGGTTTCAATTAAATCAATTAAAACTTAAATATTTTGATTCAATTTAAATCACTGAATTTTTCTGGAAAAATGCTAGATATATGCAGTTATAGAAAATCAGTAAAGAAATATTTCCAACATTAAAAAAAATTGAAATATAATCTACTGATGATAACATGTATCAAGACACATTTCACTTTGTGTGTATATACATGCATATGTGCGTATGTCCGTGCATGTACACACATATTTCACACAAACTCACAATAAAAAGCTCCTTGGTCTGGCCATCATGTTGAGAGATATTCCTAATCATCTTCATCAGAAGTGGGTCTTTGAACTTGTAAGCCCTCTTCAGCAGCAGTTTGAGGCCCTGACCCTCACAGATCATCTGAGCATTGCGTTTGTTGGCAGCCAGATTGATTCCTAGTGCTATCAGCTCCAGGTCCACGCGGTCTCCTGGGCTCTCCAGAATCATCTTCATCACCTGAAATATTGATTTAATATGATATACAGTATAAATACTCTGTGTGTGTGTGCATGCCATAACAAAGGTTAGAACTTTTTTCTGAAGCCTTCTGATCTTGTAACACAATTATTAAATCTGAAATATGTTGACTTCAGTTTTAAATGATCACATTAAGTGTGTAGCAGTAGCAGTAGCAGTAGCAGCAGTAGTAGTAGTAGTAGTAGCAGAAGAAGCAGCAGTAGTCTTCTATTTTACTACAAACATTAAAATCATATAAACATACTAAAGTACTTACAATAGGAATGCAATCTGTGTAAGTAAAGAGAGATTTACACTTGTCGTCCAGACTGAGGTGGTATAAAATACACAGCACTATCAGCTTGTGGTTCTCATTACCTGGGAATAGACAATAACATATAATTATATTTTATCTGTAGTTTAAGACATTTATACAACTATCTATACAACATTGAAGAACTTTTCATTTTCTATACGCAAATAAGAAACAGGGTTATAATTTCAGTGTTTTTCTTAATTTATTGAGGGGGAAGGAGGGATAAAACATCCAAACACAAACCCAAGTGTGATATCACATTTCATCCTGTTATATTCCAAACATACCTAACAAGCCCACAAATTTGGGCAGCAGGCCCACTTTGACCATCTTCCCCCTCTGTTCCTGGTCAAAGGAGAGGTTCAGCAGCAGCCGCAGGGTGATGTTGAGGAGGTCCTCGTGTTCACAGGGGACCAGGCGTGACAGCCTCTCCACTATCCCGGCCTCCGCCTGGTAACAGATAAAACTATGCTTGTCTTTTTTCATGGCTCACACCTTTTTACTATTAGTTTAGGAGTATAAGAGTTTAAGTGAACTAATACTTATTTCACTGAAAAATGTTCTTTTTTTCAACATTATTAATCTCAAATCGATTATCATAATATTATTTAAAAGATCCCTTAAATTATTAAACTTGACGAATATAGTATATGTATAAGCAGTAAAAGGAAAAGCCCACTTCTTACCATTTCATTTTTATTTTCCACAAATATACTCAGTTTCTTGAGAAATGAGACGACTAGTATGAGCAGTTCAAAGTTGTCCCTCTCCAGACACTTGACCAGCATGATTACAATGCCTTTGTTCCTCATCTTCTTCTCCACACTGGTGTCTTCTGACAGGTTCAGCAACAGGTAGAAGGACACTGAAAATAAACATGGGCATGTACTGATTCAGAGAAAAAAAATAATTTCACTGGAATTTTTATAACATTAATTCTCTCTTGTACAAACAGCAAACATTCGCCTGGATTAAAAAAGCTGCAATTCCATTTTACAAAACGAAAATTCTATGCACAAAGCCTTTAGGCTTTAATTTTAGAGATAACTTTCAACAAACCTAACCACTTCATTATAGATAAAGAAAGAAGAATATTTGGAAGGCATTTGTAAAAAGGTTAGTTCCCCACCTCTTAGTAACTGCTCCTGTTTAGCTAAAAGACCTTTAAATTTCTTCTCACTCTTCTCATAGTCAGCTTTGGCCTTCTCACTGTTTTTGTCTGCTTCTGGTGATCACAGTTAAGCAAAACAATTAAATCGTTGACGCCTTCACCAACATCCAAATTAAACAAAATAAATTAATTTAAAGCAATCACAGTTAAGCAAAACAATTAAATCTTTGATGCCCTCATGGACATCCAAATTAAACAAAATAAATTAATTTAAAGCAATCACAGTTAAGCAAAACAGTATTTTTAAAGTATTTTACTCCTTCACGGACATCCAAATTAAACAAAATGAATTATTTTTAATTTGGCCTAAATAAATACATGAACTTTTATAACTGTACTTAAGCATTTCTGTACTATAACAATACAGCTGACCCTGTCTGATGTTGGACAAAGCTAGTATTGTAACACAAAGAACATAAAATAGCTGATAAAATTCTTTACAATCTTATACACACATTTTTATTTTACTATTTTGTTTGTCCCATAAAAGGATATCAGCCTTCCTCTTTTTATCCAACTCCTGTTTCCACAGCTCGTACTTCTTCAGCTCGTGCTCAATGATCCCCATGGTGCGAGCACCGATTTTGAAATGTGAGATGACTCCATGAAACTGGGAGAACGAGGAGAAACAGAAGAAGATGTAGATGATGTTGGTCGCCAGCTCGGAACTCTTCTGCCAGTCTTCTCGGAGTACTCTGGCTAAAGCGCCTACCACAGTTTCTGAAAAAGAGTTAAATATAAATAGAATCTTAACAATCTTAAAATCACTGTTTTTATATTGAAAAAATGAAGGAAAATTTTGTTTACAAGCTTCTAAAATCACAAAATACAAATGTGGTGAAGAAGGAACAAAAATTACCACAAGAAGATTGTATTAACATCCTTTTTGATGAAAAAGATTAGTTCACACAAATATAAGCTTTGTCTAAATTCATAACAATTCCCAAAAACAATAATACTCTGTGACACCATCGATTGGGTATATACTACCAGCTCCATAATAACATAATTTCAGTAAAACATCATAATAACTATAGCTGACCATACCATTCTGGAAGATTTCTTCCAAGTTGTCTGGGTTCCTGGCTAACTGCAGAAAGAGAGCTGATCCTCGTAACTTCTCTGGCAAATCCTCATACAGGAGTTCTAGGTACTCATCTACATCATTGAGGTTGGCTGTCTCGTCTATTTCTGTGCCTTCAAAGGTCTGCTGGTCTAGAGGCTTCTCTGATAAAGTCTTCTTCTCTGGTGAAATAATAAAATCAGTTGTTAAAATAATATATATATATGTAAGGAACTACCATGTGGGCATACTTTAAAATCCCTGTCACCTTAGAAAGAGGCCTTACATTGTTAAATTCTTCTTTGAACACTAAAGATTACCACAAAAAGGCCCAAGTTAAAGTACTACTATTGCTACTCCATGGGTCACATTATAGTAGAGTAAATGTAACTATAGATGTATATATTGAGTCCACAACCTTATAACAACTCCTGTTTCCAAATGACATGACATAACATAACATAACATAACATAACAATCAAATCCTGTTCAAGCATTTCAGACATCTGAGAAAACAGCTGACTGGTGGAAGTCTTTTTACTTAAATACTACTACTACATATTGAATCTAAAATATTTTATGCAATTTAAATCATATACAATACACTCCGTCAGTGCAATCACTGCTTCTCCAAACAGCACCATAACCCTGGAATGAACATGAAGAAAAACGAAAATGCATAATACCATTCCCTTTTCCAGGTGGTGGAGAATCCTTCCTCTTCTGAAGATAGTACAGCAGCTGTTCTACCTCTGGTAGTTTACTGGGGTGGATCAGCTTACACTTGTCTATGATCTCTCTAGCCAGAGCCGCGATGTTAGTGTTCTGGTTCAGTGTTTTTACTCTTATTCTGTAAAATGTAGACATGTAGTTTCAAATAATTTATAAGGTTTATCTGCCAGGAAAGACTGGTGGAATGCCAACTTACCATTTCTCACAGGGCTACAAGTTATTTCTTGACACTTGGACTCCTCTTTATTTAAGTCAGGACTAATAACTGCTCATGGTTTCACAGGCTACCACCATAATAATATGTTGTAATTGTTTTCTTATTTAACTTGAACACTCACATTTTCTGGCATTCTTTTCTCTCTCCCAGCATTGGGTCACCTAACTCCCCAAGTATTGTTGCTTCTAGTTCATAGTGGACAACCAGGGCTTTTTCCGTGGGATGGACATCAATGTTTCCCCCCTTCACTTTCCTGGGGGAAATCAACATTTGACCCGTCAGATTTTTTTTCACATACTTTTCAAGGACTTCAAATACCAACTAAAACATTAAGACAGATCCCATGAAAAAGAACAATGAAATTAATTTTTTCACATCTCAGCATACCTTATGACGACCAATTAATGAGATGAACGTTGCGTTTCACAATCACAAATCACCATCGGGGCAAATCCTAATTATTTATCATTTACTGTGCCTGTAGTAACCAAGTTAACAAGCGGTTTACTGACAACGTACCTCTTCAGAAACCGCGCATCTTCAGCCTGCATGCTGGTCTGATGTATAAGTAAGTCAAAATCTAAAAGACAATTAAATACATCATACAGACTACTAGAATTTTATCTTATTCATCCTCATTATAGAAAATTTCTGACACTCGTCCACCATCTTTTAAACTATTTTTCATATTCTCGCTCTCGCGAGATGTCAGGTTTGACAGGTCCAAAAATAATAAAGATAAGAAAAAAGAAATATATACCGTCTTGGTTTTAAAAAAGTATCTGACTGTATGTGTATCATGCCTTGACACATTTTTTTATTAAAAATATTGTAATATTAAACGCGGTCTGTCGCTAGAGGGCAGGTCAATCGGCAGGTAACTGGCAGGTAAATAACGCAATGTGCCTTAGATCACATAAACACTTTTTCTGTACAGTTAGGTGTAATAGAAACACAGAGGGAGGCGTATTAAAAACTCTTTTTATTTTGTACATAGTCATACCGGTATTTCCTAAAATAATGAAATGCTTTCCCCAGTAACGTGATTGTGTCTGTGGATCAGTGTGGTATGATCACTTGCAATAATGAATAACGCGTTGTTATAATTACTCTCAGTATACAGTATCAGCACGACAAAAGAACGGACGAAATGGCAGAACCAGATACGGAAAAGTTTTACCAAGACGCTGATAAATATTGGAAAGAGGTACCAGCCACAGTTGACGGAATGTTGGGAGGTTTTGCTCACATCTCTAATACTGATATCAACGGATCAACAAAGTTTTTAAGACAGTTCATCAGAGTAAGTATTCCATCTAGTTGAAGGCAAAAGACATATCCCTGGAGGAATCCATATCACCGTGCTGTTGGAAATTTGAGATTTTTTTCAATATTTCTTTCAGTGTTTATTGATTATTAATTAAAGGGATAATAACTCTTCGTATGAGATCTATATTTCACAATAAAAACATTGTGAATAACTCATAGAAATATAATATATTCTGTTTTACCACAAAAACAGCAGTTATAGCTTTTATTCTTTTGAACTTGTCTTTAGACCACGTGACCTCCATTGATGTCTATACTCTGTTAAAATCTCTTAAGAGATTTTAACAAAAAACCAAACTTTTTAGAAAAAAACCAGGGACTAACTTTGAATGTAAAAATGGATTCATTAACCATTGGTAAGTATGGGAAAATTGTTGTTTACTCCAGGAAAATTCATTTTTTGGCCGAAACGAAGAGTTATTATTGCTTTAATTTTGATAAATAATATTTCATCACCACCAAAAAGATTTATATTTGTTAGATTTGTAATACTTCATTCAATTTCTTGGTTCATTGTGAAAGGACCCAACCATTGGCTTGTATCTTTTTATTTTCTAAATTTTTCATGTAAAATATTGCATATAAAAATCTTTTGTTTCAGGGTGAAAATGCAAAGACAAAGTCTCACCGTGCTTTAGACTGTGGTGCAGGGATTGGAAGAATCACAAAACGTCTCCTGATCCCACTCTTTGACACTGTCGACATGGTCGAACTGAACCCAGACTTCTTAAACAAAGCCAGAGAATTCCTGGGTGAACACGCAGATAAAGTAGAACAATACATTGCCAAAGGTTTACAGGACTTTACTCCCGAGGCAGGGCGCTATGATGTCATCTGGTGTCAATGGGTGCTGGGACACCTGACGGACTCACACTTGGTGGAGTTCTTTAAAAGATGTAAAGTGGGACTGGCACCTGACGGGATGCTCTTTGTGAAGGAGAACGTGACATCAAGTGATGAGGTAGATAAAGATGATACAGACAGCAGCGTCACAAGGCCGAGAGACATTCTGGTTAAACTTATGATGGAGGCTGGACTGAAGATTATTAAAGAGGAGAAACAAAAAGGATTTCCCAAAGGACTTTATGATGTCATCATGTTTGCCTTGACGTAGGATTTGAATCTGGTTACTCAAAACCACTGAAATATGAACAAAAGTTTATCTTATATTCTTGGTGTGTAAATATAAAACTGAACAGACTCTTTTTCGCAACTTTGCACCTTTTGCTGAACGAAGTTTCCACATTATTAAAAACGTTGTTTGCTGAGTATTAATGCATAGGTCAATGCTGCTAATGCTGTTTTCTCTGGCATACTGAGAGGCAGATCCAGGGATATTTTCTGACAGTCTTCCAAATTATTGTTCCATCCTCCATTTTTGACTGTTATTGGACAGGAAAAGTTGGATGCCCTTCAGTGTAAACTTAAAAATTTTTACCATCTTCTGGGTCTTCCAGAAGGCAGCTTCCGTCCGCCCCTGATACTAGTTATTTGTTCAAGTTTGTTCATGACAGGCATTATTGCTATTTCACCCAGTCAACAGGGAGGTGTATAAAAAAGTTCCTTCCTTAAAAATGACTTTGTATAAAAAGAGGTACGAATGCAGCCAAAGATTGATTCCAAATCTGGGATGTCACTCTGAATTTCTTTACAAGGATTATGTGAATTTATTAGCCTTGTATATGCTGCTTTAGAGGTTTAAATTTATTTTTATCTTGCAAGCATCTAAAGGAGTTTACATATGTCATGTTTTCTTGTAATAAAAATATATAGTCTTTGACGTTTTATAACTGCTTTATAGGATCCTGTACATTTTTCAAGCTTCACATATTAATATTGAGAATTTAAACGATTACGATTTTAAATATCTGCAGTGAAATTTTGCAAAGAACTGACCCTGTTGATGGTACTTACTCTCAACACTTTTTTCAGGTTGATTAAGACATTTTATTTTATGTTGAAACTTTATTTCATACCAAGCAGATAGCTTTTTTTTGGTATCACGTAAAGAAAAGCATAGAAAAAAATAGGATAAAAATTGCTACAACAGTAAACTTTTACTCTGGAAATTGATATTGATATGATATTGCACCTTTAAATAATACCACTAATTCTTGCACAAATAACATAAGATATGTAGAACTTTCTGTTAAAAAAAGAAAATATTGAAAATTGATTTTCAAAAACTAAATGCCTTAATAAGATATAAAACAACTATATTCAGTACAAGTCAAGATGAATTTAAAAGTGTACTCAACTATTTACAAAATTATATGTAACAAAACATCTAACAAAATTTAAAACATAACATATTTTCCATTACATAAAAAGTACATGCACTGCTACTAAATGCTGAAAACTTGTTTTCATATCTTCTTTATATTTACTACCACCTAATGGTGTTTATCGAAATAGTAGAATAGTTGAATAGTAAAATAACAAAATATGTCACAAAAAATACAATGAATAGAAAAATGTTTACAATCATTGCCTAGAACAGATGAATCAGTACTATAAAAATTACCCACAATTTAAAATTACTGCAATATTTTTTCTATACAAATTTAACAAGTAAAACTGGTAAAATAACACTTAAGCACAATATATAACTCTATAATTTTACATCAATTTCAATGATGAATAACAACAATAATAACTGTAGATGAAATTATGTACCACACCATACTAGATTATGATCATAGTATTAATGTAATGCAATTTCAAATCTGGTTTTACACCAGATAAGAATTGGTTGTTTTAATGTTCTTTTTA